GGAAACACTGCAAGCTTAGAGTAAAAGGAACAGAAAGTTCAAAATGAAAAGCCTTTTGGACTCCTGAATTTCTATGAGCAGGAAGCAAGCTGAGAAAACTACTCAGTGTCAAAAGCTAGCCTTTTTTTTTTTTTTTTTTAAATGGAAAAGGAAGAATGATTCAGAGCACAGAACCTGGAGCTCAGAGGGTACACTCAAGAGCTGTGGAGAACCATTCCTAGGCAATAAGACTGAGCCCTAATCAAGGAACTGGCTTCAGAATTGCTATGGACCAGTGATTCTGGTGTGCTCTCTGGTTTTTTGCTTTGAATAGGAGTCTAAAGTGGTTATTTAATACCTGTTCCAATTGTATGTTGGCTGTATGAGAAGATAACTTGTCTCTTTAGTTCTAAAGTCTTCAGATTGAGAGGAACTGCATCTGAGGAACCTCATCCACATCTGGACATGATTTAGATGACAAGATCCTGGACCTCAAGCCCAAGCCTGTTGCCATAATGGGAAGAGATTTTGAGATGTCTTGTGGGGAAGGAATATTTTGCATGTGGGAGGGATGTGAATTATGGAAAGAGGACAGACTGTGGCATATTATTCCAAAAACAGCCACAGCAATATTTCTAGTCCCACATGTTCTTAAAGAACTCTGCCACTCTTCCATCAAGAGGCGGAAAACTACTCCCCACCTCTTGAAACTGGGTGGGGTTGTGACTTCCAACCAATAGTGTATGGTAAAAATAATGCTGTATGACTTCCATTGCTTGATTATTAAAAAGATACAGCTTTCTCCTGGCTCTCTCTCTCTACTCACTTGCCCTTGGAATCTGGTAACATGTTGTGAGGAAAGCTTGGCCACATGGAGAAGACATGGAGAAGCCACATACAGATGTTCTGGTCGATCCCTCAGCAAAGGCTCCAGGCAATGGCCAACATCAACCGCTGCTCATATGAATGAATAAACCTTCAAATGATTCTAGATCTCAGTTTTCAAGTCTCCACTAAGCCCTACCAAAATAGGAGGTTCACGAGAAAAATAAAATATTTAAGCCACAACAATCGTAACCATAGATAACCAGAGCTCCTTAATACTCTTGTGTTCTTGGGAAGAGTCTTCTAGTGCTATTTGACTTTGAACAAACTACTTTTAACTCTAAGCCTTGGTTTCCTTGGCTGTAAAATGGAACAATAATTACTCTGTTGTGGTGCAATGCGATTCTTTCACGTGGCCTTTCTGGCTCTGGGTTTGCAACAGTCCCAAAATGATGGGTTGGTTTGCTATCTGCATAAGTAGCTTGCAAGGACTGGCTGGTTTGCTATCTGCCTAAGCAGCTTACAAGGATTGGTAGGTACGCTATCCTCCTAAGCAGTTTGCAAGGTTGGTCAGATCGCTATCCATATGAGTGGCTTGCAATCCACCTGATATGACTGGTTGGTTTACGAAAGCCATGCCTTGAAATTGGCAAGGAGTTTTCTGATATAAACAGCCAATCTCACAGAGGTTTTTTGGGACCTCCTGATCAATAAGAGCCTGGAGAGGAGCACATCCTCCAGTAAATGCTATCTAGTATTATTTCAACTTATTTCCATGAAGTTGTTCTAGCTTTACTAGTCTGTACACATTGCCCTTCAGGCTATGTGTGTGTTATATACATCTACAAACACACACACAAAAATATACATATGTGTATAAAACCTGATATATATATTTTTCACGTCCAGTGATTCTCATTTCTGGTATTCATGTCCTGGTACAGTCCTCTCCCACAATGAATAGGGCTGCAGAAATGATTTGTTGGAGGTTAGGTCAAAAAAGACATTGTAGCTTCTGTACTGCTCTCTCTCGGATCACTTGTTCTGGAAGAAGCCAGCTACCATGTTGTCAGGATGCTCAAGCAGCTTACAGGGAGGTCCACGTAGATTAAGAAACTGAGAACTCTTGTCCCACTAACTTGCCAACCATGTGAGTGTGCTACCTTGGAAGTGGATTCTCCAGCCCCAGTCAGCGCTGAGATGACTGCAACCTCCTGGAAGACCTCGAGCCAGAACCACTCAGCTAAGCTGCTCTTAACATTTGTTTTCCACAGAAACTGTATGATAAAAAATACTATTATTGTTTTAATCCATGATGTTTGAGGTAATTTATCATGCAGCAATAATTAACTAATAGATATACCAGCATGGGAGGGGCTGTAGGGGAAACACAAACCAAAGTTGAGGAGTCCATGTGGAAGGACAGGGCTGGCTGAATGGACTTGAAGATGCTGATGAGACTGAGTTTGAAATAAATGACCACGGAGTCCAGGGTAGAAAGGGAAGACAGAGGAGGCAAACAGACTTGGAGAACTGGGAGAGACTATAAACCTGCTGATTTCACTGAAGTTGAAGAGCAGGTTTGGTGAGGGTAAAGGAGTAAGAAATCTGGAATAAAAGGAAGTTTTCTTTACAGTGTGGAATACTTTGGTTACTGATTTCAGCAGTGGTAACAGTTCTGGAGAACAAAATGCAGGATGTGGTCACAGAAGTGGGTGGTCACATGGCAGTGGTGGTGAAAGGTTTTTATACCGGTGAGTTCAAAGGCAGAGTGGACAATGGAGCAACCTAAGCTGATGACCGGATACTGTTAAAATCTTCTGCTTAAAAGAGTGACAGGTCCTTAGGTGGCGCAAATGGTTTGCACTCGACTGCTAACCTAAAGGTTGGTGGTTCAAACCTACGCAGTGATATCATGGAAGAAAGTCCTGGCAATCTGCTTCTGTTAAGATTAGCCGCAAAAACCCTGTGGAACAGTTCTACTCTGTAACACATGGAGTGGCCATGAGTCAAAACTGACTCCACAGCAACTAACAACAACAAAACAGTGATGGAATGAGGGTGGAATAGTGTATGGCCTGAAGGTGAAAGCAGGGCAGTTGGTCTGGAAGCTGTAGTAAGAAGTTAGGAGAATGCCAGCCTCTATTCCTGGTTCCAGATATTGAAGATGGGCGAGAATGAAGAGCTCCACTTGAAAGGTCTTTAAGGGAAGCAGTGTATTTAAGGAAAATGGCAGAACTGAGCCCAGATTTTAGAGAAGATAAAGAGGCAGCAGCAGTGTTCTAGGAAAAGATTAGCTATGTGAGGAAGTTTCTTGGCACTAGATATACCAGAACGCTCCTTGGAAGTGAGACTTTGTTTCACGTACTTTGGACATGTTATCAGGAGGGACCAGTTCCTGGAGGACATCATGCTTGGTAAATTAGAGGGTCAGAGAAGAAGAGGAAGACCCTCAATGAGATGGACTGACACAGTGGCTGCATAGATGGGCTCAAGCATAACAATTGTGAGGATGGCACAGGACTGGGCAGTGTTTCGTTCTGTTGTCGCTATGAGTTGGAACTGACTCAACACCTAACAACAACACATCATTTTGAAATTTGTTGTAAAGGACTCTTGGAGGTCAAAAAACCTGGGGTACAAATTCCAGTTCCCTTCAATTCCTAGCTGTGTGACCTTGAGTGAATTCCTGAATATATATTCTCATCCACAGTCTGAGGGACCTTAATTATACCTGCTTCACTGAGATGCTGTGAGGCTCAAATCAAAGAATGGATGTTAAAATTGCAAAAATCTTCTATTAAGGTTTCATTTACCATCTTTCCAAGGGTTCTTAAGCAATTGGCCTGAAAGCAGGTGGTATCCCAACTTAGTGGGAAACAGATGGAAGAGAATGCACTGTAAGGTCAGGGAGAGAGTGGAGGGAGATCCTGAAGGTTAATTTGTCCCACTTCACGATTTGCTGAAGGGGCAAGCTTAGATTTCAACGATCATTATTTTCCTGGACCTCGGAGAATACTTGTAGCTAATCAGTAAAAAAGTAGTACGAAACTTAAATGCTGTTACTTATTTTCTCTTCCTAACCTACAGCTCCATTCAAGAACAGCCTGACATGTTTGTACGGTGGTTCACAACTTTTATCTACGTTGTGTATTACAACATCCCCATAGGGTAGTATTAAGCACATTTTTCAGAGAAGGAAACTATGTCTGGGCAATAGCAGAATACATATAAAAAACCCGTTCTGACTTGAGCGTTTCTAGTCAGATCCCATGTCGTTACCCAAAATACAAAATTTAAAGAGGACGCTCACAAAACTTGACTGAAACTTCAAGAATACCAGGTACTAGCTTCGATTTTATGGTCGCGAGTAAGTATACAGTGGGTTCCTTTTCTCATCTGTAAAATACCTTCTTCACAAAACTGTTGTAAGATTAAATAAGTGCAAAGGCTGAAGTTGCACCTACCACGTCGTAGGGACTCAAGTAAATCCCTTCTGCTTCTTGCCTTTGACAAATACAGCAAAAGATAATCATTATTCTCGATTCACACCTGGAGGAACCCGAAGTCGCGAAAGACTGACTATAACCCAAATCTCGGCCTGACCTGTGGGTTCCCTTTCTCTACAGGCAACTCGACAGCCCCCAGAGCGGATATAAGCATCTGCGATGTCCACTATGTCCGTACCCGTAGCGTGGATTATGTCTATGAGTTGTCGTTTGGGAGGCCGGCGGCCGCTGATAACCGCTCCCAAGAGTGTGAGAAATCTGCTCCTAATCCTCAACGCCGCTTCACGGACAAAGCTACTTTCCCATCATCCCTAACCTCGCCTGGAGTAAAGGTCGCAGCAAAGCCTCGGTTTCAGCTACCGACACCATTTCAACTACTACGTGTGACGCGACACGTAGCAGGGAGCGCAGCCGATTGGCTGAGAGACCGCGGCCCGAGGAGAGGCGCGCGAAGCCAGAGAGAAGAGGGTATGGAGGTGAAACCAAGGAAACTACAATCCCAGTCTTCCTTGCGCGTGAGACAGCAAACCTGAAGCGAAGGAGGAGGGAGTTTGGGTTCGGACCACAACTCCCAGCACCCCTCGCGATGTCTCCCTTTTCCTTTCATAACGCGGAGGAAAAAGGGGACAAGGAGAATGGAGGACTTCTGGTGTCTATTCTCCGAAAGGCGGGAAAGGCGAACTACACCTCCCGACTGGCAGCGCGTGGCTGCGCCTGCGCCTTGATTCCTGTCGCCATCTTGCCCCTTCAGAGGCACTGCAAACAAACCTAATTCCTGGTGTTCCCTAGTCTTGGCGGAGGAGCCTTTTAGATGAGCCCCGAAAGGCCGGGCAGGTGGGTGACTCTCAGCCAGGGTCCTGGGAAGAGCTGGCAGCCTAGCCAGGCTCGAGGAGCTCCAGACCAAGTATTTGGAGCCCGGCTTGGGGCGCTCTGCCCCATCCCCCGTTGTCTCCTAACGGGATCGCGGGGCTCCCCGATGTGGGCTAGGGGGGTCTGTGGCAGGCCTGGTGCTGGAGTCCTTGGGGTCCAGTTCTGGGAGCCTCCTGGTGAGTCTCAGGTCATCTGGCCGGCTGTCCGCGCGCTTAATCTCTCTCCGTTGTCCTTTCCGCTGAGGAGGGAGCGAGGCACAGACGCCAGCCGGGGCCCCTGACACTGGCTGCTGGCCCCGAGTGTCTTGGGTCGTGGGCTTGACATTGGGGCGGGCGCTGAGAAGCACCAGTGCGGAGGGTGGGCGGGCTGCTCTTGTTGTGGTGCTGTGAAAGAGTGCGTGTTTAGGGAGGGGGCGGGGCGGGTTGCCTCCTTGACACTTGAGTGGGGAAAGATTACACTAGATCCCGGTTCCCTGGGCAGGCTCCGGCAACTACTGCCCAGGTTTCCGAAGCGGTGCGGCCCCGCCGTGGGGTCCACTGGCGGGGACGCATCGGGATGCCGTGACGTATGCTTGATTCGGGCGGTCGCCGGCCGCCTTCAAGATCGTGTCGGAAGGCGGGGACTGGCCTGTGGAGGGAGCGGATTCCTTTGGCTCTGCCCCTTCTTCCTCCTACCCACCCCTTTTCTTTATGTCATCCTGCTGACTGGGGCGCGCAGTTCAGTTCTCCTTGCCTTGGGTTGGTTCTGAGCTGAGAGGACTATGGGAAGTAGGGGGAGGGGGGCTCAACTTGGGACGAAGAGTTGAAGTTAGCAGCCTCAGCGCCTGGAACGAGATACAGCAAGTTAGTTCGGTGTCTGACTCCTAGACCAGATAGCGAGCTCATTCATTCATTCATTCGTTTTACACACTCACTGCCTCAACCATTCATTGATCCATTTAACAAATATTTTCCGAGATTTTAATATGAGCTAAGCAAGTATGGAAACCATGGTGGCGTAGTGGTTAAGAGCTACGACCGCTAACCAAAAGGTCGGCAGTTCGAATCCCTCAGGCGCGCCATGGAAACCCTGTGGGGCAGTTCTACTCTATCCTTTAGGGTTGCTATGAGTCAGAATCGACTCAGCGGCAACGGGTATGGTTTTTTTTTTTTTTTTGTAAGCAAGGATTGTACGAAGCGCCCAGCGCTTTTTGTCCTCTAGACCAGGGAGTTCTCAGTACGAAATCAGTTCCTGGGATACAGTTGTAAGCTTGGTAAATGCTTGTTTAACGACTACAGGGTCCAAATTTATATTTCATTGTTAAGACTTGAAGAGACAGTTCTTTATTAAGTTTCGTTTACCTAAGTAATGATCTAAGCTATCTGTACTTTACGTTATGTAACTCATCAGTGAGGAAACAGACCTGGAGAAATCAAACAACTTGCTTAATGTTACACAGATAGTAGCACCTATTAAACTACATGCTAGCTGCTACTCTTTAATCCTCCGAACAAACTAGGTAGTATTATCTCTGTTTTACAAATGTGTAAATCTTAGATTCAGAGAGGCTAATTTACCCAGGATCACACACAGCCAGTAAGTAGAAGAGCTGGAACTAGTACCTAGATGTGTTTGACCCTAAAGCCTGTGCTCTTTCACTGTCGTAGGCTGGCATGATAACTTCTCAAATGGTTAATTCTTCATTTGTCAGAAGTTGGAAAGTGTGGTGTTAAAAAAGGATTGTGCGGTATCTTTTTGGTTTTACTTCTTAGCCTGTGGAACTCTCAAGGTGAGTGGCATGTTGAATGTGCCTTAGTAATTTGATTTCTTTTTTCTTGTTTTTTCTTTATTGCAGGGAAGACAAGCTCTTTGGGGCTACCAAAAGGAAGCAGCAATGCCTGTTGTGTGGCCAACCCTTTTGGATCTCAGCAGGGATGAATGCAAAAGGATTCTTCGAAAATTGGGTATGATTTTGATTTTTGATGTTTTATACCTATGATACTTTTCTCATTCTGCTTTGGGTCATGGCTGTTTGCATAGATGTCATACCTCATGCTAGGTTAGAAATTCCTTCAAGGTATAGTCCCTGTCTAACTCATTGCTGTTTCCCCAGCACTTAGCATAGCGTTTTGTACATAGTAGGTGCATGACTCATAATAATAGTAATAGTAGCAGCTAAGAGTTATTGAGGGATATCGGGCTATTAAGAGTCCTTTTCATTCAACATCTCATTTAATCCTCACTCAAACCTAAAAGATAGGTTTTTTTTTTTTGTCCTCATCTTACAGATGAGGAAACTGAAGCTTAGAACCTGAGGTAAAGCTGCTAGTAAGTAGTGGAATCAGAAGTATAATTCCAGCCTCACTTTAGTCTACCCTTTAGTCTACTGTATTTCCTTCATGAATGTATGTGTGAATTATTCTATTTCTGAATTCTAACTTAATGTGAGCTATGCTGACTTTTCCAAATTATGTCTTACCATCAGTAATAAGGAACCCTGGTGGCACAGTGGTTAAGAGCTTGGCTGCTAACCAAAAATTCGAATCCATAGCCCTGGTGGCATAGTGGTTCAGAGCTTGGCTGCTAACCAAAGTTCGAATCCATCAGCCACTCCTTGGGAACCTTATGGGGCAGTTCTACTACTCCGTTCTATAGGGTTGCTATGAGTCGGAATTGACTCGATGACAATGGGTTATCAGTAATAAAACATACTTTATTCTTGTAATTACTAATTTAGTGTTTCTTTTCCCTGACGGAAACCCTGATGGCATAGTGGTTAAAAGTTTGGTTGCTAACCAAAAGGTCAGCAGTTCAAATCCACTAGGCATTCCTTGGAAATCCTATGGGGCAGTTCTACTCTGTCCTGCAGGGTCAACGTGAGTCAGAATCGACTCGATAGCGATGGGTTTGTTTCTCGTTTTTTGTCTTTTTTTCCCCCGAGAGCAGCAATTTTCAACCAGAATTTAAGTCCTAATGCTAAGGCACCCACTGTATGTAATGAGTTAACTTCTCCCCATGTATCTAAACCAAAAACCAAACCCGTTGCCATCCAGTTGATTCTGACTCACAGCAACCCTTTAGGGTAGAGTAGAACTGCACCATAGGGTTGCCAAGGCTATAATCTTTACAGAAGCAGACTGCCGCATCTTTCTCCTGCAGAGCGAGCGGCTAATGGCTTCAAACCGCTGACCTTTCGGTAAGCAGCTGAATACATAACCACTGCGCCACCAGGGCTTCCCCCATGTGTCTGGAATGGTATTATAATTATGCACCATCCTTGGGAAAATTGAGAAAAGAGTTACTCAAATTGTTTTCTGTGCTCTGTGGTTTAAATGAGGATCCTGGTTTGAGAAAGGCTGCTTTAAACTGTAAGCTCCAAGAAGAGGACCTTGTTTATCTTATTTACTACTGTATTCTAGGGCTAGCACATAGTAGGTGTCCAATAAATGAATAATTTGAAAAAGAACATTAAATATTTTAGCAGTAGATGTGAATTATTTAGCTATCCATGGTTTTGAAGGTATACCAATGTAGGGAAAGTGTGGGTCTTGAATTCAGACAGACCTGGGGTCTTAGTCCTGTTACTGATGACCTAGGTGACCAAGAACGAGTTATGTAATCACCCTAAATCTGTTGACGCTTTTGAAAAGAAGGATAATAATATCTGCCTCATTAGTTTGTTGTGTGGATTAACTGTGTGTAAAGGGCCTATCACAGTGGATGACATCAGAGTGTAGTGTTTTGAAGCAGATGCTTTCAGACATCTATTTATTCGCAGCTGATCCTTTTCTTCAAAAGAAGTTTTGTTGGGAATTCCTATGTGTAAGTCAGAATCATAGCTGATGTGGCCCTGCCGACTAATAACCTTTGCACTTTTTATTTCCCCTCAGGTTACTGTAAGGATTTCTCTCTTTTAAACTACTTCTTAGCATTGTATTTTAGCATTGCCTAGAGAGCTTTTTGTTTTTGTTTTTTTTGATCAGTTATTCCTTTATATTGTTTTTACCTCATGTCCAAAATTTTACTACTAATGTGAGGATGGTTTTCTACACTATTACATGCAGTTGCTGTAACTCAGTTGCTGATTATAAAATTGGACTTATATTTATTTCATAGCTGAAATAATTGCAGAGGGATAGATTACAATATAGCAAATTGGATTGGGGTTTCTGGGCTTTCTGGGCCTTGAATCAAAAGATGTTTAAATATAAAAATGGTAATCTTTAAGTCTACCCGAGAAACCAAACCTGTTGCCATCGAGTCGATTCCGACTCATAGCGACCCTATAGGACAGAGTAGAACTGCCTCATGGGGTTTCCAAGGAGTGGCTGGTAAATTTGAACTTTGCTAACCTTTTGCTTAGTAGCCGAGTTCTTAACCACTGTGCTACCAGGGCTCCTTAAGTCTACATATACCCCTAATTTTAATCAGAGTTGTGTGGGTAATGCTGCTGGAGAGCTGTGTCTATTAAAAAAACAAAACAAAGCAAAAAACAGCTATCCTACAGGAAAATGTAATCTTCAGTGACCCTTCACTTTGGGAGGTAAGCCTCAGAGTGATTTGTAGAAAGACTTCTACCTCACCAGTTGGCTCATTATCATAACAATAAAACCTTTGAATTGCCTTCAAACCAAGGCTTTGAACTGCTTCATTCCAGTTCAAACCCCTGCTGAGAATTTGCATTTCCACCCCAGATATACTGAGTCAGAATCATTTAAATTTTACTTAATTAAAGATAAATGAGGTAGAGAATTTCTTTGTGATATGCTGAACAGACCAGTGATAGATAACTGCTTCCTTCCTTCTGAGCTGCCTCTCCCCTGCCCTATTTTTTATGACCATTTCTGAGCTGTAACTCTAACATGGGGCTTTATGGCTTACAGTATAAAATTTGTTTAAAGGGAATGGGTTGAGGGCTTTGTAAAAATAGCTTAGCAACTCTTATTTTCTGAGATGTTTGTATGTGTTTATTATTTCATTATACTTATGTGTCATTACGAAAAAAAAAAATTCTAAACCTGTTGCCGTCGAGTTGATTCTGATGCATAGTGACCCTATAGGACAGAGTACAACTGCCTTATAGGGTTTCCAAGGCTGTAAATCTTTATACAGGGACAGAGTAGAACTGCCCCATAGGGTTTCCAAGGCTGTAAATCTTTACGGAAGCAGACTGCCACATCTTTCTCCCTTGGAGTGGCTAGTGGGTTCAAACTGTCAGCCTTTTGGTTAGCAGCCAGCACTTCACCCACTGTGCCACCAAGGCTCCTTTGTGTCATTACAGTTAACTAAAATAGGATACCAACCAAGAGAGTACCAGCAGTTCAACCAAGTTCTAGACACATCAGGATCTGAGCATACCCATCAAAATGGACTTCAATCAATATGAAGGAGGTTGAGAAGCTAGTAAGGGTCCTTTAAATGAGTGCATTTCTGGAGACAAGGAGGAAGTGCCTTGGATTGTATAGCTTTGATGTGTTCTGAGACCCAGTTTTGTGTGAGGTTGCCACATCTTACTTTTGTGTATGCTTTTTTTAGTTAGACTTGAAATGCAAGAAATATTTGTCACATTTTTTAGTTAATTACATTTTCTTTGAAATAGTGTCTTGATCACCATAAACTCCACAAGCCAAACAAATTTTTTCGTTAAACTACTTCCTCTCCCTGACCTCCTCATTTCTTTTTGTGTCATTGCCATTCTCCGAAACACCTGGCAAACGACTCCTTTCCTTCTGTCACTCCTACATTCAATCGGTTACTGAGTCTTATCAAATAGAAACTTTTTAGGCTGGAATTAAAGGCTTTTCTCAGTCTGACCCCAAACTACTTTTTCGTTTTTATCCTTTTGTATTCTCTTACAGGCATGAACCAAATCTTTATAATAGTTATTTTTAATCACCTTGAATTTTAATCACCTTGAGGATCAGAACTTTGTTCAGTTGATAGAAATATTCTCCATGGTACCTTGTGCTAGTAATGTTCAATTAGTAGTTTGACTCGAATTAGTGATTATCCAAGTATAGACGTATTTTTACTTCTCCTAGTATAAGACTCTCAGACATAGTCACTGACTCTTACTCGCAGATAATGAAACATTATTTGCTTCTTTATTCCCTCTATTCCTTTTGAACATTTGCATTTTTTCTCCCTGCCTGCCTGGAGCGTAGTTCTCTTTTGATTAAAGCTTATGCCTCCAGACTAGATGTGTTTCTCCTTTGTGCCTTTATTGCTGTATTGTAAACTAAATCGTAATTGTCTCATTACTTGTTTCACTGTAGTTCCGTTCTAGAGTTAACTCCTTGACTGCAGGACTTAGCATGCTGTCTGGCTTATATAATAGGGACTCAATACTGATTTGTTGAATAAAATATTCCATACATGGTATATAAACCTTTAGAGTATAGTGAATTCTTAGTTGATTATCCGCAGTGCCTTTCTGAACTGTCCTACGGGTCCTGAGAAAAGCTGAAATATGTGTTCCCTGGAACTATGTCTTTCATTACTTCAGAGCAACAGAGCCTTGTCCTTGAATAGAGAACTCATGAAACATCTACGTAGTATCTAGCGCAGACTGAACATGCAAATGGTTATACGTCGGGCAATTCACTTGGACCAGACATTTCTATTTAACATAGTGAGCTCACTCTTCTATATAAAGCTTTCCTCTGACAGTCAGAACTGTGAATAATATGAACTGAATGATGCTACTAGTAGGTTATTTATGTAGTACCTAGCATGCATGTGGCACAGTGCTGAAGTGCTGAGCTGCTAAACGACAGATTAGCAGTTCAAACCCACCAGCCACTCCGTGGGAGAAAAATGTGGCAGCCTGCTTCCGTAAAGATTTATATCCTTGGAAACCCTTTGGTGCAGTTCTACTTTGTCCTTCAGGGTTGCTATGAGTCGGAATTGACTCGATGGCAGTGGGTTTTTAGCCATGCATGCATGCATTCATTATTTGGCTAATATTTACTGTATTTTGTGTGTCAGGCATGGACAAATAGCAAATACTCATAGGAACTTGAACTGAGTATGGAGATTAACTGTAGTCTGGACATTATTTCCCATCATTTTATTTTGCTCAGATGTACGTGTCTCACAGTGTTAATGGTTTCAAACAACAACCATTTTATTATTTCTCACACTTCTGTGAGTTGCTTGTCTTGCCTGGGCTCTGTCATATGGTTCTATTCAGCTGATAGCATAGATGGAGACTGGGTTTAACTGAGATGACTGGGCCTCTCTCCACATGGCCTTTCATCTCAGGTGTCTTCACAGCTTGGTGATCTCAAGGTTCCAAGAGAGCAAAGCTCCTAGTGCAAATACTTGGTAAGCTTCTGCTTACATCATGTTTGCTGATGTTCCATAGGCCAAAGCAAGTCACATGCCAAGCCCAGAGACAATGTGGGAGGGGACTACACAAAGGTAGTACATAGGAGGACTACACTGGGAGACATGCATGGTTCATTGGGATTGTTGGGGACTTCATGGTTTTATATTTTAACCAGCAATAGGAGACTGACCTTTTTATTTCATAATGGTTGTTTTTGTGGAAAGATAGTGAAATGAAACTGTGTGACATTAAGATTTAGCATATTATGTCCTGGTTGCTGTAAGAACATTTCATGGTCACTGTGAGTCAGAATCGACTCGATGGCAGTGGGTTTGATTTTTGTTTGAATCACCAACAGGTGCCTCAGAAGAAAGGCCTGGCAATTTAGTTCCCGAAAAATCAGCCATTGAAAACCCTGTGGAGGCCAGTTCTACTTTGAGTTAGAATTGACTCAATAGCAACTGATTATTTTTTATAGAGCAGAGTATCTTAGCTCTGGAAGGTACCTTAGAAGTTCCTTCTAGATAAGGAAACAGATTCAGAGATGAGAAAGGATTTGCTCAAGGTCACACAACTAGTAAGTGGCAATGCTGGAGCCAGAATCTGGTTCTTTGACTCTCATTCCAGTATTTTTTCAGTTGCATTGTGTTCTTTCTGACAACTACCCAAGAGAGAGTTAGAATATAGTTTGACTTCTTAGGCGGGGCTAAGGAATTATTTGAAGGGTTGATCAGTGAAGGTACCTTTCAGTAATGCTAAAAGTTCTCTTTATCAGCCTTTTTGCATCACTTGGAGCCTATTCCCAGTTGTTGGTAGCACCTGAGTTAAGTGTTCTTAAGTATTAATGTATGAGACCAAATGTTTACTGTTAGATTTTTCTACCTAAACATTTTATGTGCATGACTTCCATGAATCAGTAAACAACAAAATGATATAAAATTATAAAATCCACATTTTAATCTGTTTTCAGATAAACTCTTTGAAAGGAATTAAAAAATATTTACAGTTGATTTTTCAGTTTCTTACCCTGAAGTTTTGCTGTATGAAGCCATAGTAGTAAAATATTGAAGGCCTATCTTGATAAAATAATTTTCTTCTTCTAGAATTGGAGGCATATGCTGGAGTTATCAGTGCACTTCGGGCACAGGGGGATCTCACCAAGGAAAAGAAAGATCTTCTTGGAGAACTCTCAAAAGTTCTTAGGTAAATTATTATAAAAGTTTGTAAGATGTGATTCTAGAAATTTCATTTTGAGGGGTTTTACTACTACTCACTTTAGTAACTCAAATCAAGTTGAAGAATAGAAGTGTTCAAATTGTTGGTGCTTCGAGATCCCATCCGAGTTGTGTGGTCTGTTACAGAAAGTTGTATAACTTAACATTTATTCTGAAGTCCAATCAGAAAGGGTTTAAGGCAACTTGTTTTTTAGATTTGGGCCACCTAGAAAAGGGAAGCTCTTTTTGACAGGGGTGAAGGAAAGGAGAGCTGGCAGCAACTGGATATGAAGATCTAAAGTGGCATTTGTAGAGGGGAAGCACAGAGTGCAAGGAAGATGCTGTCTTTAATTTGTATAAGTGGGTGGTGATTAGATAGTCATAGCCTGAAGCATAGTCTCTTCCTTCGGCTTCCCATTAGAGTGGCGCTTGAATCTATTAACAAATTCTAGTGAAAGGGGTTCCTCGACACTCTGCCTTGATCCAGTCTAACATCTTGAGCTTGCTTGGAAAATGTTCTGTTTTAACTGAATTACTCTTTCTACATTTAAAATCATTTTGTCGTATTCCTTTTATAAGTGAAATATGGGAAGAGGTTCTTATATTTAATTAATAAACATTAATATAGAAATACTTTTAAGCCAAATTCTTAGTCTTATTGTCTTCATATTTAACAATTTATAGTTTTTTGTTTGTTGTTTATGTTTCCTCCGAAATTCTGCTTTCCAGCGCCTAAATATTTTCGTCCATGGTACAGATTTAGCTTAAGCAATAAAGATGATAATTTCAAGAGTAGTTTTCATTTTATTAAGTATTTATGAATGGAATGGACATAGCCTTTTCTTATTAGTTCGGTATTAACTTTACATTTGTTAAATGAGGATCAATATAAGCACATTTTTACCATACTGGTAACATGATATAAAGTAAAAGACACACACCTGAAGTGTCGTGTAATAAGGGATATTAATAGAATATAGCCACAGTAAACAGACTATTTGCCACTCTCATTTCTTTATTATATTCACTGAACATAAAATTATAGAATCTTAAGCTTTAGAAAGGACCTTAGAAAACTCTTCTGAGTGCCCAGATCCTCAGAAACCATGATTAGGAGGTCATCAAGCTTTGGTTTGCATATTTACGTAGATAACAGAAACTTTTGCTAATCTTGTCCATGGTCTTACAGTTCTGAGTTTTGGAAATACTGCCTTGATATGCTGAATTTGTCTTCCTATGATTTCTAATTTGCAACTAATTCTCTCTGCAGTTACACAGAATCAATGTGAATCCTTTTCTATGACTTTAGAGCATTTGAAGATATATATGAGGCCCCTATCTATATCTTTTCACAAATCAGTCTTGCCCCCTATTTTCCCTCCCTCCCCCAAAGCAAAATGTTGATTTAAACATTAATAAAAGTATAGAAAAGAGCTGCCTGCTTGGCAGAGTTCTATAATGGCTATTTTTTTTCATAGCATCTCAACAGAACGCCATCGTGCTGAAGTTCGGAGAGCAGTAAACGATGAACGGTTAACAACAATTGCACATAAGTAAGCCATTAGTCATACCACCCCTGGTTTTTTATGACATAGTATAACATAGTCTTATTGTGTAGTAGATTCCTGAGTCTGTTATCTTACTAGTAACATTTCTAAACTCGGGGATCCTGACCATAGTGTGTTAACTGATTATTCAGTTGGTTATGTTTTTGCGTTTGGTTAGGCAAGCTTTAAATACTCAGGTCATATTCTGTTACAGTGAAACCTATGTATAACTAAAGACCACTACAGTTTAGCAGGATGATTCACTCATTTGAAGCAAAGGTCAATCACAAAGTAGCATGCCCCCTAAATTTGACAGCCCGCTAGAGGTTGTTTGTAATGTTATTTGATGTTTATATTGCTTTATAAATAGGCATTATAAATTTTTTGATATTTGACTAATCACTTCGTATGTTTTGAGATTCAGAAAAAGACTAACGTACGCTTTCTGTTTTAAAAAAAATACGAATGTAGTATATTTTAACTTTAAAAAGCTAACAAAATAAAATGATACAGAAGTCTTACCAAATTATTTTCAGATCATTTTAACTATTTGACAGGTGGGTGGAGGATGGTCGAGGACTGAGTGCAGGGATCAAGCATTAATAGAGTATGTCTGGAGACAGTGCCTTCTAAAGAATAGAACGAAGCCCAAACCAAACCCTTTGCTGTCGAGCCAATTCTGACTCATAGCGACCTTATAAGACAAAGTAGAAGCGCCCCATAGGGTTTCCAAGGCCGAAAATCTTTAGGGAAGCAGACTGCCACATCTTTCTCCCATGGAGCTAATGGTGGGTTCAAACCGCCAACCTTTTTGTTAGCAGCCAAGTGCTTTAACCAGAGTGCCACCAGGTCTCCTTAAAGGCTAGAAAGGAACAGAAATTATCCTTTAAATGCTAATGCAAGATGATGGGAATGTTTCATAAAATTCGTTGTAGCATAATTCATTTGCTTTTTATTTCTGTGTTTTAATGTGAAATAAAACTAAAGGGATAAATTCTGTACATTTCCATAATGTGATAACTTAAACAGTATATTTAAACCAATTGGCAGTATTCGAATTGACTTCCAAAGATCCATTAGCTTAATGTTGTGCTTCACTGTCCCTCATTTTACCTAACTTATAAAATGGGGCGCTACCTTTTCAACTGCCTATTTGAATGTTTAACTGTTTATCCTGCAGTTTTGCGATGTTTCAGTGGTAGGTATGCACCATAGAAATTGGGAAAATTTCCATGAGGACATTTAGTATTTAGTTATCAGGTTAACATGGTTGAAAGATTAAAATATTAATGTGTTCCTTCTTTAATTTGGTCTAAACTTTAGAACTGGGGTGCCCTAAAAATAATAACTGAGCTTAGATTATAATTTGAGAACCAGTAATAGGAAACTTACGTGCTAGATAATCAAGTGATTAACAATAGTTTGCTCTCAGAGGCACTTAGAAACAAACTCAGTACCTTAGAAGCATTGGAACAGTATTGTGGGTTGTAAGTTGATGCATCAGTTTCATACTTAAAGGATAACATTTATTTAGTCTCCTTTTCCTTTTTTCCCCTTCCAAGAATGAATTTATCCTTATATTTGGGTGAAAGACCAAGTTACAGGTATGCAAATAGGTTATTATTATTTCAGGCTTTTTCTTGTATTTATTTCAAAATTGAAGCTCTCAATTATTCAGGGGCACATTATTCCTTTTATGAATTAACCGTGCTCCTTGCTTTTCCTTCTCTCCCCCTCCTAATGCTGCCCACCCTTTAGCCATTTTGCTGCTTGGGAGTACCTCTAGTCAGAGGGTGGGAAGGGAGAGGAGGTGAAAAATTTTAATTAGTTGTTTTACTACGTGTTAGCTGTCCTGGAAAAGGTTTGGTGGAAGAATTTACAAGTAATTGCCAAAATATTTTTGGATAATACGTGGGTTTCTTTAATCTATTTGACCTCTCCCTTTCCCTCCTCTCTCCATTAGCATGGATAATTGAGAGTTGGCTTTTATCTGCCTGTGTTTCCTTTTTTTTTTCCTCTCCTTTCTGATTTCTTTAATACATGAATTTCATTTTTTTGAAAAGAGTTTACTTCAGTGTATAATTTTAAGCTTCTTAGGTCTTTCAATACTCCTGTTTTAATATTTTGTATTGTGATTTTAGTTTGACCAGATACTGTTTGTTTGTTGAGGCCAAGGGTCAGTGAATGGGGATTTGCAAGATAGGTGTAGATCCCTCATTCTCTCCATCTCCTCAGCCTTCTTTCCTTCAGAAAGTACACTAGAGCTCAGTTCCAAAGATATCTATAAAATCCATTGCCGTCGAGTCGATTCCAACTCATAGCGACCCTATAGGACAGAGTAGAACTGCCCCATAGGGTTTCCAAGGCTGTAGCCTTTATGAAGGACATCTTTCTCCTGGGTTGAACTGCCCAACTTTCAGTTAGCAGCTGAGCGCTTAATCACTGTGCCACACCAGGGCTCCTTAGATTATCTGTAGGAGGGCTTTATACTCTGAGCCTGAAAAAACAACTAGAGCTGAGGAGGAATGTATCTGAACTGACTGCATTTCCTTTCTCCTCTCCTTTCCCTCCCCCACTAAGAACTGCAGCTTAGGCCAGAAGGAATGTGGTCAAAAGGTGATGAGAAAGCCTAGAAGTTGAGCACAAAGGAGTAGGGAAACAAAAGGAGTAGGGTGTCTGGGATCAAAGAAGAACCTTGCTTGCGGCTTGAGGCATAACACATGTTTATTGTTTGGCACCAGGCCGTTTATTAAATTTGATACTCTAATTCAGTTTTGAATTATGTCAGAATATTGCATTCTAAAGCCCTGAATGTCAAGGAGCTTCAGATTTTTTTTTAACTGTGCCACTTTTGCCAGAATGGTCTCTAGGGTTAGAATAAAATACCTATCTGGAATTTATGCTCTTTTAACCCTTTCCCCATCAGCCAGACATTCACAGTGATTTCTTGCTGATGCCCTGCATGCCAATGGATGTGAGGGCCAAGGTAGTTTTATTAGTATCATCTTAAATTTCTCACAGAAGGTGAGGGAGCAAGGATCTCTACCCTCCCTTGCCTTACTCAGTATAAACAGAGAGGCATTCTTACACTGAGACTAAGATATCCCAGTGAATCAGTACAGTAAGATGTTTATAAGTCTATAAAATTCACTTCAGATGACTTGTGCAACTAATACATATTTATACCCTCATTACTAAGCAAATAGCATTTTAGAAATCTAATTCTAACATGATATTTAATTCTTCACTCACTTCAAGTTTGAGCATGTTTGCATGAGTGGAAATTTGGAAGATTTATAGATCTTTCTAAAAGTTGCAGTTGTGTCTTTTGCACTGCAAGTTCTGTCTTTTCAATAGCGTATGTTCATGTACTTCAAATTATTAATCTTCCGTAATTTCTGCCACCATTTAAAAATGCACCACATAATAGCCAAAGAAAAATATCTAACTTATAAAGGTAAGTGTAGGTATTGTGTGGTAAACTGTCACCAAGCAAGTTTATTAGTGATAGTCTAATAAAATGATAGTAAAATAGGGGTAAGACAAGATAACAATGCTGAATAGCTTTTAGGATATTTTTTCTTTTGACAATTAGCAATAGCTCTTTTCTGTCTCTTTTACCATTTGTACCATTCTCCTTTTCAGAACTAGCATCAGTGTGAAGATTATGTAATGACAAATTTATTAAGGTTATTGGGATTTTTAAGTAGGACTGTGTTAAACCATGAGGGTTACTTCCCACAGTAATCCAGTTGGATTATTCAGCTCCTAGAAATTCTTTTCTGAACTGAATTTAAATTAAATCCTTCTCAAATAGTGAAGTAATTTGTTTCATTCAGTGTAAGTTGGTAGTAAGTAGACAGCAGTACCCAATTAGTATAAATCAAAGGCAAAGTTACATGTAAAACTCATTTGAAAATTTTTATACTTTCTACTTATGCTGTGGCAAATAATTTCAATAGCAGGATATATGCTTGTTTTAGGAGACATTTTGTAACTGTGTGACTTTAGGCAAGTTATTTAACCCCTCTGTAACTCAGTTTCTCCATGTATAAAATGGAGAGAATAATAGTACCTACTTCATAGGATTATTGAGAGATTTATATGAATTATTACTACATGTAAAATGTTTAGAACAGTGCCTGATGTATAGTAAGTGCTTAATTGATGTTAACTGTCATCATTACCATCATCATTATCATTAATTCTACTATCCACTAACAAGAGTTTTTGTGAATTCTATCTAAAGCTGAAAAATTAGTGGACATACAGTCTTAAATTCTAGGTTGGGTTATAGAATTCGTGGGTTTGAAAAAGGTGCAAAACTATTTCTGATGCACTGAAGAGATAGATCGATTAGTTCATTCTGGGTGAAGTTTAAACCTTGACACCAATCATTAGTCAGGGTCGTTTATGGAGCCAAGTCAAGAAAAGTAACACAATCAAGAGAAGTAACACAACTACCTTTTGATACTTCAACCTCTGGTTGGATTTTTGCTTAAGAAGTTTAGGGTAGAAAAACTGAGAGTGTATCTGCTTAGGAGTAGAGTTGAATTGCCTCAAATTCTTCTTAGAGTGAAGGATAGTATAAATAAATAAGTGGCAAGTTTCTTCCAGTGTCCTCAGATCTATAATCAGGATAATAAATACAATACATTGTTAGTGACATTATACTGTGACATATACATTCCTCTTCCATCCCTTACTACCTAGTCCCCCTCGTTTACTGCCTCAGTTTCCCTTGTTTGGAAGCCTTAGAACTTCTGGCCATGCAGGCAGTTAGATAAAAATTTTTTATTTTGCAAAGATTCCAGTGAATTCCATTTTTAATTATTAAGGAAAATCCTATTTTTATATTATGAGTACTTTTTGCTTTAACTACAATTAAGTAATAAAAGTTAGTAGAAATACTAGTGTTCATTAGTAATACCAGATTTAAACTAATGCAACCAAAGTCAATATTAATATGGAAAGCATGGGGAAATTTTCCTTGTTTCAACTTTGTTCATTATAAGAATTCAGATTATAGAATAAAATGTGTAAGAACCTAAATGTGTATGAAATTTCTTGAATTCTAATTCGTAATTTTGATCTCGCTTGCTTAAAATAAAGCCTCTCTTACTAAGGGTACTTTTTATAATTTAAAAAGTTATATTTGTTTGATCATTTTTAGTGATTGAGAACCCTTGTAGCAGCATTTTCTTTTTTGTTTAGTATGTCTGGACCTAATAGCTCTTCAGAATGGTCCATTGAAGGTCGTCGATTGGTACCACTTATGCCCCGGCTGGTTCCCCAAACCGCCTTCACGGTAACAGCTAATGCTGTTGCCAATGCAGCTATCCAGCACAATGCATCTCTTCCAGTGCCTGCAGAAACAGGAAGCAAGGAAGGTGAGTAGACAAATACTTCTTATGTGTAGAGGTTATTTTTTTGAGATCCTTTTCAGTTCAAGAAAAGTTATCTTATTTTTCCTTTATTTTTAATCCCAGTGTTTAAAGGTTTCAAAGCATAGTGAGCAACTCTGATTGTGAAACTAGAAACTGCCAAATTTTTAGTCTCAGCTAAAATTAAATCTCCCTTTTGTTGAAAGTGTGAATTATGTTTATCACAAAATTGCAAGAGCCTTCTTGGAATGAATTTTTGACATCAGTGTGTCTTGTCAGAGGTGGACAGAAGCCCTTAATGAGTGCTATAGAAAATAAATAAGATGACAGAAGTCATTTATCTGCTGGAGAAAGATGCTGAACTGATAGCTTAAAAAAATAAAACTCTGTTTTTGTCTTCTGGAGTCAATGGTATATGCTGCTTCTCTGTTCTAGTCAATGTGCTGAATCCCCTAGGGATAACCTTGCAGATAGAAAGGCTTTCTTATTGTTACTTAATCTAGTAATTGGCATATGCTTTAAAAATCCTTGAATTCTATTGAGGCCACAAGAATAATATTAAATTTGAGAGAGCATATTTGGATTGACTCCAGTAGCTGAGTTTAGTGTTGTGTGAAAATGACCCTGAAAACAATGCAGTTGTCAGGTTACTTTGGGGTATTGTCTTTTCTTGCCTAGCAAGGGGCTGTGGAGCAGAGTGAGACACTCTCTTTATGCATGCCAGGCTCTGCTTTAGGCTGATGGAAGCTATATTTTAGAGAGAGACGAGTGAAAACTTGGCCTCCATTGAATTCCTGTTTTATTTGTTGTTGGAGAAGTATCTTTCCTCTCTTCCCACTTGTACCCTTTTCATCCACCGGTTCTCTGGTAGAGTGGAAAGACTATAGGATTTCCGATAGTCAGATCTGTGTTTGAATCCTTGTTTGCCATTTCCTAACTATGGGATCTCCAGCAAGTAGTTTAGCTTCTGTGAACCTCAGCTTCCTCATCTTTAAAATGAGGATATAATGTTGTGAGCATTATAGCTAATATACAGAAAGAATTTAGCACAGTGCATGGTACTCAATACTGGTAAATGGTAGCTGTGAGCTATTCTTGCTATTGTTGAGCTGTGTCCCTTCATTGAATGATGAAGAGGTTGACAGATGATGTCATTATTTTAGTTGAATGATTGTTGATGGCTTGGATGGCAAATGACTAGTGAGCTAGTTCATAATAAAAGAACTGTGTCTTGGTTTCTTCTTAGTAGCCTTGTTGGTAATTGTTATGGTTAGGGAAAAATTATTCATCTCCCCATCATGGGTGCTACTATTTGTATTAAAAGGGAATACAAGTACATGTCTGTTGCCCAACTCCTGCCATGAGTGAAAAATGATTTTCATTTTTCTCAATATAATTTTAAACTTGATTTATTTGTAATTGCTTTCTTCTCCATTGGCAATATCATCTGTAGACAGCTGTTAAATACTTGGGGAAAAGCCATTTAAGTGATGATTTTTAGGAAGTCTCTAAGCTGTGGACCTAGCACTGGCCTCCAACTTCTGATCACATGAAAATGTTAAGATTGGCCTGCAATAAAAAAATAATTTTGCTGTATGCCTGGACAGTTTTGGTGAAAGTTAACAGCAAACTTTTTTATCGTTCCTTTAGTAGTGGTTTGCTATTCCTACACAAGTACCACGTCAACCCCAACCTCTACCCCTGTTCCAAGTGGCAGCATAGCAACGGTTAAGTCTCCAAGACCTGCCAGTCCTGCCTCCAATGTAGTTGTCTTGCCAAGTGGAAGTACTGTTTATGTCAAAAGTAAGTGATACTCTCAGTGTTATCAGGGCCACCTTGGCTAAATGCTGAAGCATAGGCTCTGATAGATCTCCTTTCCTGGATTAAATCATAGGTCCACTGTCTGGATATTAGCAGTGGTTTTTTGACAGTTCTAAAGAATTCTTTTCTTTACATGTGACTTAGTATATTTTGCTTTTTAATCAGTTCTGGGGGTTGAGAAATGACTTCTTTTTTGCTCTCTTTGGGGAATCTGCCTTTGAACAGTGCTATCTTTCAAGTATTCACTTGTTTTGATTGTCATGGAATAGAAATGTGAATAGATAACTGAAGGAATGTGCTTATTCAGCGTTTACTCCTATATTGTAATCTCTGTAATGTTTTCTTAAATTATTTTATGTAACGTATCATCTGATTGTTAGATTCAGTGAAGCATTCTAGAGAGTCCATCTTCTATATTTCCAACTGACTGTGATTTTTGAAGTTTTTTTTATTTGCAATCTTTAACCCCTTGATTCTACCCTGTGAAGCAGTTTGATTTCAAATTCACTTTTTTATTTTTAATTTCTGTTATGTCAGTATTGCTTTGCTTTTGATATCAATTGGAGATCATTAATATTTGATCTTCATTTTTCTTAGTATAGTTACAAATTTGATTTCTTTTTAACTTTTAGAAGTGGCATTTGCTTTTTTAGACAAGAATGATTCTAGGTCATTGTCAGCCTTGTTTAAATTAGAGTCTATAAATTGAAGGTATAAGGAGTTATATTTTATTTATCAATTCTGTGAATCATGCTATATAATTTTTTATGTCTGCTCTATAGAGATTTCCTTTGTAGGTTGCTAAGTTTTATGTTTCTCACTTGATTTTGTAAAAGCATTACAAAAACAATAGAGGCTTTACTCCATAAGAAAAAAGGTAAAAATCTGGAACTATTAATTAAGTTTACATCTGACTTCTATGGATTTAGCCAACGTAGTCTTTTAAAATAATTGTAGAGACCTATTTTTGATCATTTTAAAACACTGACAGTGAATTCCAAATGTCAAGAAACCATATCACATAATAGGTTGTTGTGTGATAACTATATAACGAATGATATAATTATTCATTCACCTAACTTCATATGTGTAACAGCACTATACCAGTGAAACAAACTAATAAGACATAGTTGTTTTCCTCTGGGAACCTCTTAATAATGGGAGATCTGCTGATAAACAATCACATTACCAGGTGGTAGGTGATACAGAAGAGAGTATACAGAGGCGATGTGGACTAGCTCTGCTTCACTGAGGAGATGGTTGGATCCTGCAGGATGATTAAGAGGTCATTGGTGGTAGATGGTATTCCTCAAAAAGCACTAGTATATAGAGACCTAGAGATGGATAGAGTGTGGTAAGATGGCTTTGGGTAATGTTGAGCAGTTCAGCATGCTGAGATTATAAGGGTGCACAGGATTAGGTGGAACTGAGTACTGTGTTCTTAGAAAGATACAAGTAAGATATGGTAATGATTTTGTATATCATCTTATAGGAAGATAAAAACTACTAAAGGATTTGAGGTGGGGCATTGGCATGGTTAAATGAGATTTTGTAACTGGTAGTAGGATGAAGGATCGAATGGACATCTTTTAGGAGGTTGTTGCTAAAATAGAGGCAGGACGTGAGGAATTGCAACATGGAACATTGGCCATAGGGGTAAAGAAAGGAGGGAAGGCAGAGACAATTTCTCTGAGGGAGAATTGATAGGACTTATTGGCTGATTGGGCTTAAGGCAAAGGGAGAAATCAAGGATGACGTGATGCACACAGAGGTTTTTTTAAAAAATTATAAAATGCAAGATTTGTTCAGTATAAATATAGCAATATTATTGTCACCTTCAGGTGTTAGCTGTTCAGATGAAGATGAAAAACCCAGAAAACGAAGACGAACAAACTCTTCTAGTTCCTCCCCCGTTGTCCTAAAGGAAGTTCCAAAGGCAGTTGTTCCAGTCTCAAAGACGATCACGGTGCCTGTGAGTGGCAGTCCCAAGATGAGCAACATCATGCAGAGCATCGCCAACTCCTTGCCACCACATATGTCTCCTGTCAAAATAACCTTCACCAAACCCTCAACACAGACGACAAACACAACAACACAGAAGGTATGTGATGGAGGGAGTCTCTGCCTGCCAGTGGCTGTTTCCGTCTCTTCCGGACAGTGTGATTCAGATTTAACAAACATGCACTGAGTGCTTACTATGTGCCTAGCATTATGCTTGGAATGTTGACATGTCTTACTTTGTTTAATTCCGCACATAAAGCTTTAGAATAGTTATTACACCCACTCCTCACCAACATGGTTAGGTTCCAAAGACCAGGTCATTATGCAAAATGGAGGATGACCACATCATTACATAACCACTAAATTACATCATTACATAATTGCCAAATTATATTATTACACAACTGCCAATCTACCTGATTACATAACTGCTAAACCACTGAGAATCGTGGCCCAGCCAAGTTGATATATAACCTTACCATCACAGCCAACATTACTCTCACCTCACACCTTGGTGTTTGTTACTGCCAGGTGTATGTAATCGATGTGCAAAATAGTCTGATAGTAGATGTTTTACTATTGTCGTAAATGCGAGATGTCAGATAACGAAATAGTAAGTTAGGAGTAGATGTATTTCACTGTTTGTACATGAGGCCCAGATGTGCTAAATGACTTGGCATAAGCTGACATAGCTAGCTGGTCTTTTACTTCTGAAACTTTCACTTTATTTTATAATTATGATACTGTTCGGGAAAAAATAAAAATACAAGTTTTTCTAACCTATATTAAGATGACTTTACCTTTAGGAACTCAGTTTTTACTTTGCCAGAGTAACCAAGTTGTCAGTGTTAGGTATTCAACAGAGGAAAAGAAGGATATATAATTGAATAATTGTTGTATTTTTTAAATTCTTTGTATGCTATCATCAGTTCATTCCTAAAATCTCCTCTAAGTATGTACAAATCATCAGTATTCTGTCAATTTCATGTTATTAGAACCCTCTGTCTTACCGTACCAGTCTGGACCCCAGTCGCTCTCTCGGCTTGCTGCATACCTGTTTTCTGGGATTTCCCTGTCTTCCTCTTTCTTAGTTTATTTACTCATTTTGGTGGAGCACATCATCCAGGCTTCCTGGTATATAAGCATATAGAAAGTAAATTTTTTTGAAACCTTGCATGGTGAATTAAAATTTTTTTTATCCTCCCTCCCACTTTATTCATAGTTTCCTTAGGTGAGTTATTCTAGGTTGGAAGTCATTTTCCCTGAGAATTTTGAAGATAGATTGTTCCATTGGCTTCTAGCTTCTAGTATGGCTTTGGAGAAACCCAATGGTGTTCTAATTTCACATTCTGTTTTTCTCTTTGAAAACTCTTAGGAACTTCTCTTTGACCTTACATTTCTGAAATTTCAAGGTAACGTTCCTTGGTGTGGGTGTTTACCCATTGGGTTGCACACTCAGTGGGCCCTTTCAATCTGGACACTCACGTCCTTCAATTCTGGGAAATTTCTTTGATTTTTCTCTGTTCTCTCTCTCCTTTATTTTTTTATTGTGCTTTAGATGAAGATGAATTTTCTTTTTACAAAGAAAATTAGTTTCTCATTAAACAGTTATTACACACATTGTTTTGTTACATTGGTTGCTAGCCCCACGATGTATCAACACTCTCCCCTTCTCAACCTTGGGTTTCTCCTTTCCAGCTTTCCTGTCCCCTCCTGCCTTCTCGTCCTTGTCCCTGGGCTGGTGTGCCCATTAAGACTCGTTTTGTTTTATGGGCTTCTCTAATCTTTGGTTGAAGGGTGAACCTCAGGAGTGACTTCCCATACTCATTGCTGTGAGTCGATTCTGATTCATAGGACAGAGGAGAACTGCCCCATAGGGTTTCCAAGGAGCAGCTGGAGGATTTGATCTGCTGACCTTTTGGTTAGCAGCCGAACTCTTGAACACTGTACTACCAGGGCTCAGGAGTGACTTCAGTACTGAGTTAAAATGGAGTCCGAGGGCCATCCTCTCAGAGTTTTACTAGCCTCTGTCAGACCAGTAAGTATGGTCTTTTTTTGTGAGTTAAAATTTTGTTGTACATTTTTCTCCAGCTCTGTGAGGGACCTGCTATTGTGATCCCTGTCAGAGCAGTCAGTGGTGATAGCCGGGCACCATGTAATTCTGTTGGACTCAGTCTGGTAGAGGCTGTGGTAGTTGTGGTTCATTAGTCCTTTGACTAATCATTCCCTTGTGCCTTTGGTTTTCTTCATTCTCCCTTGCTACAGACAAGGTGGGACCAATGGATTATCTTATATGGCCGCTCACAAGCTTTTAAGACCCCAGATGCTACTCACCAAAGTAGGATGTAGAACATTTTCTTTGTAAACTACATATACCAGTTGAGCTAGATATCCCGTGAGACTATGGTCCCCGGCCCTCAGCCCAGTAATTTGGTCCCTCAGGGAGTTTGGATGTGTCCATGAAACTTCCATGACCTTGCCTTTGTTAAGTGGTGTGACTTCCTCAGTATTATGTACTCTTACTGTTCACCAAATTTATAACTTATCTATAGTCTGTTTGGTTTTTTTCCCTTCTCAACCCTCCCCTCCCTTGTAACCATCAAAGATTGTATCTTTCTGTGTATAAACCTTTTCATGAGTTTTTATAATAGTGGTCTCATACAGTATTTGTCCTTCTGTGATTGACTTATTTCACTCAGCATAAAGCCCTCCAGATTCATCCATGTTGTGAGATGTTTCGCAGATTCATCATTGTTCTTTATCATTGCATAGTATTCCATCGTGTGTATATACCATAGTTTGTTTATCCATTCATCTGTTGATGAGCACTTAGGTTGTATCTATTTTTTTGCTATTGTGAATAATGCTGCGGTGAACATGGGTGTGCATATGTCTATTTGTGTGCTGGCTCTGGTATATTCCTAGGAGTGGGATAGCTGGATAGTATGGTATTTCTATTTGTAGATTTTAAGGAAGCACCATGTTGTTTTCCAAAATGGTTGTGCCATTTTGCATTCCCACCAGCAGTGCATAAAAGTTCGAATCACCTCACAGCCTCTTCAACATTTGTTACTTTCTGTTTTTTTGGTTCGTGCCAGTAGTATTGGGGTGAGATGGCATCTCATCATAGTTTTTATTTGCATTTCTCTAATGAGTAGTGGATTGTGAGCATTTCCTCATGTGTCTGTTAGCTGCCTGAATGTCTTCTTTGGTGAAGTATCTGTTCATATCGTTTGCACTTTTTTTTTTTGGTTATTGTTGTAGTTTAAGTGTAAGTTTACATTTCAAGTTAGTCTCTTATACAGAAATTTATACATACTTTGTTATGTGACCCTAATTGCTCTCCCCATACTGTGACAGCACACTCCTCCTTTCCACCCCTGATTCCCCATGTCCATTCAACCAGCTCCTGACTGTCTCTGCCTTCCCCTCCCACCTCCGGACAGAAGCTGCCTGTTTAGTCTCTTGTATCTAGTTGAGCTAAGAGGCATACTCCTAACGAGTATCACTTTATGTCCCACAGTCCAGTCCAATCCTTGTGTGAAGGGTTGGTCTCGGAAATTTTTTTAGTTATGAGCTGATAGAGAATCCGGGGGCCATGCTTTCCAGGGTTCTTCCAGTCTCATTCAGACCATTGAGTTTGGTCTTCTTACTAGAATTTGAGTTCTGCACCCTACCTTTCTCCTGTTCCATCAGGGGCTCTCTGTTGTGTTCCCGGTCAGGACGGTCATTGGTGGTACCCAGGCACCATCTAGTTCTTCTGGTCTCAGGCTGATGAAGTCTCTGGTTTATGTGGCCCTTTCTGTCTCTTGGGCTAATACTTCCCTTGTGTCTTTGGTGTTCTTCATTCTCCTTTACTCCAAGGTGCTTGGGACCAATTGATGCATCATAGATGGCCACTTGTGAGCTTTTAAGACCCCAGACGCCACTCACCAAAGTAGGATGCAGAACATTTTCTTAATAAACTTTGTTGTGCCAGTTGACCTACATGTCCCCTGGAAGCATGGTCCCCAGACCCCTACCCCTGCTACTCTGTCCCTCAAAGTGTTTGATTGTATTCAGGAAACTTCTTAGCTTTGGTTT